CAGAGATCTGAGCGGGCACGTGTGTTCCCTCGTTTCGATCGTTGCTTGTCTTGTCTGTCTGCACTTCAAAGACGTGTGTGTGTGTGTGTAACAGCCACAGCGACGGTCCAGGTTTCTCCGGGGTGCAGACAAGGTCAACTACATGTGCTATGACTACCGCACAGACCCCTGCGGCTCCAGTCTGCATCTGTTACATTCCTTGCAAATCAGAACAAAAACGCGGTCACGCAGTTTGTTTTGGTAACCTGGAGCATGCACACATCAGAGCCGACACCAGGGGGGGCTTTAAATGCAAATTTGGTGCTTTCTTATTGTGGTTAAACTCTCTTTACTGCTGCCACATTCAGCTGCATTTGGATTTATTTACTAAGTCTGAGGGCCATTTTCTGACCTCATACCTGTGCTTTGTTTCTGTTATTATCTCCTCCCTCTCCCCCCTCCTCCCTCCCTCCCCCCTTCCCTCAATAAATCTTTTTTCTTCTCTGTTTATTTCTACCTCATATTTTACCTTTCTGCCTCTGTGTTTCAAGCTGAAGCGAGGAAACAGATTCCTCGCAGTCCGACTTTGGAATCTCTTCAGTTACGATAACTCTAGACCCTTTCCATGCAGAGCTGGGAAAACAGTCAGGCCCAAACCTGAATTTTTTAGAGGAGGAAAGAGAAGGAAAAGAAAAAGTGTTTTTGCAAACCTTGAAATAAAAATGATGGGGTCATTTATAGGGTCACCTCCCTATCAAGGGCATTTGTCAGAAAATTTATGAGCACAACATTCATTTGTGTAAAGTTTAAATAGGGTAGTCGTAACTTGAACTGCAGCTGCAAAACCAGGAGACAGAGAGGAGCTGCTGATGCTCAGGTTTGGATTTTTGTCCAAACAAAAACCAGGGCTATTGGACTGAATTCTTTTTGTTTGTTTGTTGTTGTTATCCAGTGTAATCCAGTCGGAGACAGAGAGGAGCTGCTGATGCTCAGTTATGGGTTTTTGTCACGGACCAGATTTGGATGGCTTGTCGGGCCAGATTCGGCCCACGGGCCACCAGTTGATAATCACTGTTATATACTTCAGTTTGGATTAAAGACAGTGGTAGTGGTAGTATTAAAAAGTTTAATAGCTCCATTTAAGAACCATTACGTGTGTGTGTTTAGACCGAGTCGTGTGTGATCCTGAAGATGACGGACGGACGCAGAATAAGACTTATTTATTCCTGGGGGAGGCTGACATGGTTGCATCAGCAGGACTGGACCATCAGAACCCAATGAGGCCTTCCACTGTCTACCTCAGTCTGTTCCCTGTTGGGCCATCACTGAGTAATCTGTTTTCTGAGGCAGTATGAGAAAAAGGAATGTTCACATATTTGTGCTCTGGTCATTGCCGAAAAGAAAAAAAAATGCATTTTTCCTCCACCTACTCAAAATCGCAGCCTGCAAAAACACAGCGATGGCTGTTTTGCTCATTGCTGACTTTTCTTTGTGTTTGGTTC